GTTTAGGGGGCCGGGTCTCCTGAGGCCTTGCAGAACTTGTTCTGGGAGGGTGAATGAATTTGAGTGCTGGTGCTCCCACCTCTCAGATTCGGTGTCTAGCTTCAGCCCCAAGAGTGACCTTGGGAAAGTCAGACAAAGGGTCCTTTGCGGCACTGACCAGCCTTGCGTGGGTCTCTGCTTTCAGTCATGGCCTCCGGCAACGCGCACATCGGAAAGCCGGCCCCGGACTTCACGGCCACCGCAGTGGTGGACGGCGCCTTCAAGGAAGTCAAGCTTTCAGACTACAGAGGTGAGGCTGCCCGGAGGGGGACCAAGTTGGGACAGGCTCCATATATGAGAGGGGCTGGAACTAACTTTTCTTCGTTCTCCTCTTCCCTAGGGAAGTATGTGGTCCTCTTTTTCTACCCACTGGACTTCACTTTTGTGTGCCCCACGGAGATCATTGCTTTTAGCAACCACGCTGAAGACTTCCGAAAACTGGGCTGCGAGGTCCTCGGAGTGTCTGTGGACTCTCAGTTCACCCACCTGGCGTGGTATGGGGCTGTGCGCGGGGCGGGCGAGGGCGGGGGCAAACTATGGGGATAAACTGTGTCTTCTCTTCCGGCCCTTCATCTTTTATGTGTGTGTGGGGGGGTTGCGAGACAGGGTTTCTCTGTGGCTTTGGAGGCTGTCCTGGAACTAGCTCTTGTAGACCAGGCTGGTCTGGAACTCACAGAGATCCTCCTGACTCTGCCTCCTGAGTGCTAGGACTAAAGGCCTGCGCCACCACCGCCCAGCTGGTCCTTCATCTTATAAAGAATGGAAACAATGACACCCAAGTCCTTACAATAATGACAGTAATTAGCATTTGGCACCTAGTTGGAAGGTACAGATGCTTCGTGGCTTAGTTCTCAGGAGACAGGCTGGCCTTGCCCTATCTCATGAAACGGGAAACTCTAGTTCTCAAGAGTGATGGGTTGATGTAAAGACCAGAGCTAGATGATGTTGGAAATCCCCCCCTTTTTTTTTCAGAACTAGGGGTCAACTCAAGGTCTCATTGCTGCAAAGCAAGTACCCTACCCCTGAGCTCTACCTCTGCTGTTGGCTAAAGTGGTATCCCTATTGCTAGTTATTGGAGCCCATGGGCCCAAGTGAAGCTACTTTAAGATGATGATTTATCTGGGCCATTCCCTTTCCAGTTGTACTGCCTTTGCCAGGGTGGGGAGGGTGGGGCTACCCAGCCTTGTTCTGGGCATCCTAAGGCCCCAACCCTGTTTCTCTCATCTTCAGGATCAACACCCCACGGAAGGAGGGAGGCTTGGGCCCCCTGAACATCCCCCTGCTTGCTGATGTGACTAGAAGCTTGTCAGAGAATTATGGAGTGTTGAAAACTGATGAGGGCATTGCCTACAGGTATAGCAAGGGCCTCAGCCCAGCTCCAGGAGTCCCCATCTCAAGGCTAAAGGGACCACTGTGGCTAATGGGGTGTGTGTGTTGCCTTACCTGGCCTTGGCAGTGGGGGACTCCAAGCTCCTCACTATAGGCTCTCATGTCTTCAGGGGCCTCTTTATCATCGACGCCAAGGGTATCCTTCGTCAGATCACAGTCAATGACCTCCCAGTGGGACGATCTGTGGATGAGGCTCTTCGCCTGGTCCAGGCTTTTCAGTATACAGATGAGCATGGAGAAGGTGAGTGAATATTCACAGATGGGGATCCTCAGCTCTCTGCCCAGCTTACAGACATTAACTGTTTGCCCTAGCATCATTGTGGGATGGGTGGTAAAGCCCCATACAAGGGCTGAAGAGATGGTTTACAGCACTGGCTGCTTTTCCAGAGGATCAGGGTTAGATTTCCAGCACCCACATGGTGCCTCATAAGCATCTTTAATTACAGTCTCAGGACTCTCTTCTGGTCTCCTCTTGTATATATATATATCACAAAAAAAATTAGATTAAAAAAAAAAGCCGGAGCCCCAAAAAAACAAATTTTTAGTATGTATTCATGTTTGCCTGGAGCTAGCTATGTAGACCAATCTGGCCTTGAACTCAAAAGATCTGCCTGCTCCCCAGTTCTGGGATTAAAGGCACAAAATACCGTACCTGCTTTAAAAACTTATTTGTGCATGAGTGTGCTAGTGATCAAAGCCTCAAACATACTAGACGATGCTCTTTCACTGAGCTGTACCTCGAGGCCAGTCATAGCACCTCATCATATGGAAGGGTCACCTGACCACAGGTACAGAGTTTTAGTAAGGCTAAGACTGACAGAGTGAGTGAGTTAAAGGGGAGGGGCATGGAGACACAGGCCTGTAATCTCAGCACTTTGGAGCTGAAACAGGAGACCAGCTTGGGCTGAAGAGTGAGACATTATTTCAAGAAAAAAGGCTAAGTGTGGTGGTGCATGCCTATAGTCCAAACACTTCAGCTGTGGAGGAAGGAGGAGCAGTGCATGTTTGATCTATGGAGCCTGATCTATGGAGAAAGTTGTAGGCCAGCCAGAGAACCCTTAAAAAAGAAGACTGAACTATAGCTAGGTGTGGTTTACACAAGGCCCAGAGCTCAAACTCCAGTCCTTCAGCAGCTAAAATAAAACTAAAAAAAAAAAAAAGAATTTGCAGGAGTGTGGTGATGCCTGTCTGTGATCCCAGCAGTCGGGCTAAGATAGGGCTGCCATCGGGTCGGGGTCAAGGTGAAAACAAAAGTACAGAACAAACAAGACAATAGAACAGAAAAGTATCATCTAGAAAACTATTGGGGCAGGGGCTTCTGATTGAGTGAAATCTGGAACCCTGCCCCTTAGCTTCCAGCCCTTCATTGTGCAGGCAGCCTAGGGTCTTGCATGGCCTGTTTGTCCCTGACCTGGATGGCAGAGCTGAGCCTCATGTGTTCATCCTTGTGTGTTTTTCTAGTCTGTCCTGCTGGCTGGAAGCCCGGCAGTGACACCATCAAGCCCAATGTGGATGACAGCAAAGAATACTTCTCCAAACACAACTAAGATGATCAAACATCAGTGAGCCTGAATTCTTGTATCCCGCCCCTACCTGGATGTCCTGTGCTGGTCCAGAAAAGACTGGAGGGGCTGGGGGTGGGCCAAGGCTTTCTCATTGCCCACCTGGGATGTGGTGAATAGTGACCCTATGTCCTGAGCCCACCTGTCTGGGCACACATCTATAGGAAGGAAACCAATAAAGTATTAGGGACAGTGAAAGACTGTTGTGCTGTCTAGTTGATCCCAACTTCATTTTTACACGCTGGCCTGCGCAACTGACTCTGCAGTTACCCTTCTTCACCACAAGGTGGCGACAATACCACATTCACTGCATAGAGCTCTGGTGGCCTGAGAGTGGAGAGATACTGATCTGTCTGTGGAGAGATGGTTTAACTTGTTGCTCTTGTAGAGGACCCAGGTTCCATTCCCAGCACCTACATGGTGGCTCACAACCTTCCTTAACTCCAGTTCTAACATTGTCTTCTGGTCCTCTGGCGCAGGCATGCACATGCGTGCAGGCAGAACAACATACAGATAAATTAAAGCACGTGCATCTCTTCAAATAAACAACCAAACTAGCCATGGGCAGTTTACTTCTGGATCCTGTCTCGGTAGACCAGTGCCCACATCTTGCCATCAGCCATAAAAATGCTATTTAACTACTATGGTCATCACTGGGTCTCATCGGATGGGAATAAAAAGCAAACTCAGATGACCTTGTGAGTTCAAGTGTGTGAAGCCTAGGCTCTGACCCATTTCTGTGTAATATTTTAGGCAAGAGAGTGAGACCAAGGTTCTAAGAGCCAACAGTGGGAGTCATTGAAAATATTTGCTTCCTGAGGTCAAAGGTCAAGGGTAGGTTGGGAGATCTGTATTTCAGAGTTTCCGTTGAGTTGGACATATGGCAGTAGCTTTGCCATTCTGAGTTCCACTTTCATTCCACAAAACAAGTATGATCTGGTTGTTTGTTTTTATTTATGTTTTGATACATGAGTTCTCAAACTATACTCCTTCAGCCTCAGCTGAGGCTTTACACCTGTACCTTCGTGCCTTTGTTTGCCAGCTCACATGTGGAAGTCATTCATCCCCTTGGAATTTTTTTCCACCCATGCTAAGGATGGGATCTAGGTCCTTTTGAATGACTTGGACACACTACCACAGAGCCCACACTCAGCTACTCCCTGGAATTTAATATATATTCTCAAAGCTCCTGCTTGGGTCTCCCTGAGTTCATTCCAGTTCAGGTACACTCTTGGGTTCTTCAGATGATCTTGCTTTGGGTATAAGAATTATGCATGTGCATTCCTTCCTTCCCTCTGACCCCAAACTTTACTGAGGGCCCTACACTGCCAAATCTGTTGCAAAGGTAACAGTACATTCTGTCTATGAACCTGTCTCCCTGCCCCAACTCTCAACACTTTTGTTGTTGTCTTTTTCAAGGGGGGGGGGTATCTCTGTACTGCTTGATCTGTAGACCAGGCTGGCCTCAAGTGCTGGGATTAAAGGCATGAGCCACCAATGCCCGAACACTTTTACATTTTAATTTTATTGGTTTTTTGATAGTTTCGATGTGTAGCCCTGGCTGTCCTGGAACTCACAGAGATTTGCCTGCTTTGCCTCCTGAGTGTTACGATTAAAAGCTGTGCCTCACCACTGGCTGGCACTTTCACTTAAGAAAAGAGTCTAATCGCTTCTCGGCCTTTTGGCTGAGATCAAGTGAAGAAAAGAGTCTAGCCGCGCACTGGTGGCGCACGCCTTTAATCCCAGCACTGGGAAGGCAGAGGCAGGCGGATCTCTGTGAGTTCGAGGCCAGCCTGGTCTACAAAAAGTCACAGAGAAACTCAGTCTTGAAAAACAAGAGAGTCTGTCTATTTGTGGTTTTGTGCATATGAGAGTGCAATGACTGGGGAGGCCAGAAGGGGGAAGTGCATCCTCTGGAGCTCGATTTTTTGAGGGTTTGTAAGCCCCTTATGGTGGGTGCAAAGAAGCACACTTGCATGCTTTGGAATAGCCGCGTGGTACATGCCCTTAAGTGCTGAGCCATCTCCAGCAGTCTTTTCTTTTGAAAATCCCGCCCCCCCACCCCGTGTGTGTGTGTGTGTGTGTGTGTGTGTAGGTGAGTGCTTTTTCTCCTGGGTCCAGGGATGGGACTCAGGTACTCAGGCTCGGCCACAAGCATGTTTACCTGCTGAGCTATTCATCTCATACCCCTATCTGCTTTTGTCCTTTTTTCTATCAGTACTATGGTCCAAACTGTCACTGAGGGTTTTGTTTGGTTGGAGTCAGGTTCCTTTTTGATGTTTTTGTTGGGGAAGGGGATGAGAGAGTTTCTCTGTGTAGCCCTGGCAGTCCTGGAACTCACTCTGTAGACAAAGCTGGCCTTGAACTCAAGAGATCCCCCTTGCTATGTAACCTAGACTGCTTTGAGGCCATACACTTTACTACTTAATTATTCTTTGACTCCGCCCGAGTAGCATGGTTTTCTTCGCGATGGGGTCCTCCAGCTTCAGGACCAGCGAGGTCCCCCCCAGCTCCAGCAGCTTTGAACTTCAGTCTCAGCCTTTGGGGAGCGGCCCGGCAGGCACGAAAGGCTGCGGCGGCGCCCAGCGGCCCAAACAACTGCCCCGACAGGACCAGACCTGGCAGTCGCCAACTTCTGGCCTGGCACACTGGAGGGGACCCTGGCAGGCGGGC